CACATTGGATGGTTCCTCCATACCAATAACTCTCCGAACAAAATCCATTTATTTCCGACCCTGAAATCGGGTGGTCTGGTGAAATGACCCACAGCGAACGTGAAGCTGAAGGGTAGAGGAGGAAATGGAGCTGGGAGGTCATTGATGTGCATGTACCGAGTGCACATACCACATACTACGATCACAGCAATGTCAGGTGGGTCGCCATAGAGTGGTCTGTCTTGCGCCAACTGAGAGAAGGTTTCGCCATTCTTGAATGGGATAACGGGGGATTTCGGTTCATTCCGGCATCAAATGTCCATTGAGGACATTATTTGAGGCAGAGGTAACAAAACGAGCCCTCAAACTTGTGAATCGGCCGAGAATTGGCTGAGGAATGGGCAAAGGAAGAGCGCAGCATCCGTTCGGAGATAAGAAATGATCAATTCCCACCTACCCATCGGAACCAAACGGGGCACAGCTTTTGATCAACGCATCACTCCGCCTCGAAATTTGATGTTCATACAACATCGTTATACATTGTACTTCATCCCACAAGCACCAAACCACGAACTTCTGCAACGTCGATCCCTGTATTATCCAAGTGGCCCACTACCCTGACTGGCCCAGTACCCAGTCGTTGATAGTACCGGCGAGACACGTCTGCGAAACAAATTAAGAGGCGGAATTGCATAAATCTAAATTGATTCGCACCGTAAGGTAATGGCCGCATCCTCCCCGAATGCCAAATATTTCTCACTGCTCCTGAAAATGTGCGACCGCCATCTGAATCGTCCTGGCCAATGCTCTGTTGTGTTGGTGTTCCCTCAGGAATACCCGGAGAATCACCGTTTTCCGCATGCTGCAGCTGGTGATCCTGTACCTGAAGCTACTGGCTATTTCGGATGTTCAGGTTGCCACCAACATCGTAGAAGTTCTCTCCAATAATGGGGATACCGGTACTGTTTGAAGAGGGGCATGGTCTAGGAGGAAGAGGTATCGTAGCAAGGCTGTGAGAGAAGCGCTCGCTTCACCGCATTCCTATATTTTTAGGAAAGCTGTTCATTGGTTGGGGGCTGAGCTGACACTGACAGCAGCAATTTGCAGGACTCCGAAGCAACAGATGAAGAATAGGATATGTGGGATTTCAACGAAGCAGCGAACTTCAAGGCCATGATTTCAGATGAGAGACCGAAAATTTCCGCGGCATGCCGATTGATCGCCAAAAAATGAGAACCATTTATGACCGAACCACCACTGGTTCAAACGAGGGACTTCCACATCAACATGGTTATCCTCTCAAGAGGAGTGGATGCGATAACGTCTTCCCTGTTGAGTCTCCTTCCTTTCCACCTCCACTTTGAGTACTGCGAAATTATCTTCACGCTTTTGTGTGGATTGCATAAAAAGAAAATACAACACCTGAAGGACCTAACCGCGGTTCGGATGAGGGACTTCCATATCAACGTTGTTCGCCCCCCACGGGGAGTGATGCACCAATTCCGCTAGTAGGTCCTTCTCCCGATTAGCTGCCCTTGTGTTTCGGGCCTCTTGGTGGGTTGAAACAAAAACCGCAGCATTGCCGCAGCATCTCCCGAATGGTCTAACCTCGATTCGCACACGAGACATAAGCACTCGTGACAGGTGCAGTGGACGCGATGCCGATTTACCCACTAGGTCTTCCTATAAGCTAATCAAATTTAAACTAGTGCGGAATTATTTCACGGTCACTGTGTAGGGTTGAATAAAAACTTGATAGAAAGAACGGCAGCAAAGGCGAGAAGACCTAACTTCGATTAGAACGAGGGACTTCCATTGAATGTCTCTGTGGCCTGTTTAGACGCAGTGAATACGATGTAATTCTTTCCTACCTCAACTTTCATAACTGCGAAAATTTCAGGCTTTTTGTATAGGTTGCATTAAAAAAATGCAACTGAATGGAAAAACCTAACCTACAGTCGAACGAGGGACTCCGACGCGCCACAAACAGCTCATGATTTTTTTTTCAACAACAATGGATGCGATACCAACTTCGCTATTAGGTCTAACAAGGGACTTCCACAAATAACACTTAACCGCAACAAATGATGTGGACGCGATGATATTTTCGCTAAGTATTAGGTCCTGTTCCTATGATTTTAAACATGGCGTAGCATCCATTTTGTGTGGGTGGGTAAGAAAAAGTTACGGAGAATCTCTCCATGACCGAATATTATTATTAGTAACCTTGATTTGAGCGAGGGACTTCCACCTCAACGTCGTTCGCCTTTCTACCGGCTTCGGTCCTATTCAACTTTCAGTACTGCGAAATTCTTTCAGGCTTTTGTGTTGGTTGTGTGAAAAAAAGCTGGGTATAGCAAGCCAGAACCTAACCCCTCGGGTTGAACGAGAGATTTCCACAGGAGCACCGATTGCTCCCTCAAGCTCAAGTGCAGCGGATGCGATGCCAATTTCGCTGTTAGGTCTTCTTTCTCTTTATTTGCCCCTTGGGAAGATGTGTGATTATTTCAGGCTTTTGTAGGGGTTGAATAAAAAAAGCTGGGTTGGAACGAAGCGTGCCATCGATTTGAACGAGGGACTTTCACCTAAGTGGACCGTTCAACTCGAAACAGGCACTGGATGCGATGCCAATTTCGCTGTTAGGTCTTCTTCCCCCTTACTTGCTCTTGAATAGATGTGTGATTGTTCAGGGATTTTGTGTGGGGTGAATAAAAAGGCATGTTCGGCGTCACAGCCTTATGACCTAACCTCGGTTTGAACGCACCGAAATGGGAACATTAGGGACAGTCAGAGTAGGCGTTTCAGATGTGCTTCAGGCATTTTTAATTAGGCGTTTCAGATGTGTTTCTGGAATTAGTTTAGCATCAGAAGCGTGTGAGAAACACTTCTGAGTCTGACCGTCCCTTTTCAAATTGCGCTTCAGATGTGATTCGGCTGATAAAAAAAATCCAAGTATGATGTGCGCCGAATTAAGTTCCTTGTAAAGTGAATTGAGGGTGTTGCTCAACACTTGCCGACAACACAAATGTTAGGAACATGCGCCCACCTTTGATGGCGGGACGGCGGGAAATGATCGCACACGTCTGAGAAAATTCCACCCTTTAAGACCGCCGATGCAATCAATCACGTACCTGATCGCTGTCCATCATGGCTGTCCGTCGCCCCATGTGCGCATCTCCGCCGCCCCTGTCGATGCCATCACCCATCAAATGTCCCGCCCACCGCCGTCCCGCCTTCAATAATAGCCGTAAAATCACCAGATTTTTGGCGTGCACTGATACAATAAATAGGATCATGATTGCATTGAAGCACCTTGTGCGCCACGCCACACATCGCCCCGACGCAGTATGTGATGCGCTGTCTGCCCTGTGTGCACGCTGTCCCGCGGCTAATAAGGGCGGCATGCCCTCCAAAATATTTGAGGCGGTATATCTATACATCTGTAGTGTGAGAAACCCAATGCGCCCTCCTCCAGACCAAGGCGCGCGGCGGCGCCCACCATCGCGCGGAAGGCGTGGTGACAGTGATGAGAATGGTGATGACAGCAGCGATGATCACCACATCAATACGGTGAAGGCAAAGGCGCTTTGATGTAATCATATTTGTAACACGTACCTTATCATTTTCACGAATTTCCATGAGGGGCGGGAGGGCAAAGGCGGGACAACAACAGCAGATTGATGGGGCGGTGATGTGCGGCACTTAATGCAATCATATTCGTAACACTAATATAGGCCTACCCTATTATTTTCACAAAGTTCCATGACTTTCCGGGGGCGGGAGGGCAAAGGGCGGGACAACAGTGAGCAGATTAATGGGGCGGTGATGCGCAAGAGGGGCGGAGATACCGACGACAGTGATGCGCAGGAGACGGTGTCAAAGAAGCTGATGGGCAACCATCAGGTCGAGATGAGCAGTAATGTATAAATAAATTCATGGAGGCAATTATTTTTATTTACTTGCGAATATACTTAGGATGAGGGTTTTGAAGAACAAAATAAAATCTCTGAAGCACATTTCTGAAGCGCTGTGAAGCGCCTCCAGAGGCGCTTCGGCGTTTCAGAAGTGTTTCGATTTAAAAGGGTTTCTCCCACGCTTTAATAAATTGTGAAGCGCTTTCGAAACCCTTGCGTGAAGCACATCTGAAACGCTTACTCTGACTGTCCCTATTGGCCAGGATATAGGTGGATGCGACGCCAATTTCGCTATTATGTCTTCCTACCATCTAGTTGAACCGAAACTAGTACGATATTTATTTCAGGCTTTTGTACGGGGCGGAAAAAAAAGTCATAGAAAATGCACTGATGACCTAACCTCGGGTCGAACGAGGGACTTCCACATAATGGATAAATTTCCTACTGAGGTGTAGTGGACACGAGCTATTAGGTCTTGTTCCCATATTCTTGAACCCGGTATGAAGTGAGGTTATTTTTGTGTCAGAGCAAAAGAAAAAGTCCTGGAATGATTGGCCATGACCTAACCTCCGAGTCGGGTCGAACGAGGGACTTTCACATGAACCGGTCTTATTTTCGCTTTAACACTGGCAGATGTGGACGCGACGCCGATTTCACTATTAGGTCTTCCTGCCCTTGGATAGATGTATGATTGTTCCGGGCTTGAGTTTGTGTGGAAGCGAATTTTAAAAAAAAACTGGGAGTCCAACATGTCCTAACCTCGATTTGAACAAGGGACTTCCACACTTCCACATAATACTGACTACATCGAACCAGGTGCAATGGATGCGATGTCAATTTCGCGATTAGGGCCTTCCTCCCTTTTACCTGCCTTTCGTAAGGTGTGTGATTGTTTTTAGATTTTTGTGTGTGGTCTGAAAAAGAAAGAAAAAAAAGACTTCGACGATACGACCTAATTCGAACGAAGGGCTTCAGTATTTTGATAAGATATGGCCAAGATGGAGTGGATGCGATACCATTTTCGCTATTAGGTCTTGTTCCTATAAACGTGTGAGATTATTTCAGTCTTCTCGTATGGAGTGAAAAAAATGGCAGACAACAGGATGATGACCTAACCTCGACTCGAACGAGGGTACTTCCACGGAGCCATCCCAAACCATCTCAGCAGTAGTGGACACGATACCAACTTCACCATTAGGTCTTTGTTTGTGTGAATTGGAACTTGGCTAAGGTAGCATGATTATTTTGCGCATTCAATTGGTGAAAAAGGCTAGTCCGGGTGGTACATAAAGCCCGAGTCGCCGGTACACTGGTCAAAGTGCAGTTAGCACACATACGAGTAGTACTGTAGCTGATAGTGTATGCAAGTCCGAGCAGAGAACCAAGTTAGTCCGAGCACAAAAATCAGCGAGACGTTGGCGAGACGGCAAGCCGGCAGAACTGACATAATCCTGCCACCTACTTTGGTGCGTTCTTGGTGTTCTGCTATGTTGCGACTGGTGTCCTTCGGTGCCTGCGTTGTATCTATCCGACGGCGTCGCCTCTATCACACGCTCGGGATGCCTCCTTTCCTTTCCATCCACAGCACGTCTGGCGGCGTTCTCCGCTGCTGCCTTGTCTTCTTGCGTCCACCACGTTCTGCGCGCCTCGCCCATCCTTCCGTTCCCTTCGCTCCTTATCCCTCTGTCCTTCCGCTCCTTCAATCCCGTGATACCCCTGGTGCTCTTCGCCACCACCACTCCACGACGCCCGTCTTGATAGCGAAATTCTCCCAATATATTCATTCATCCTTCCTTATGAATCGTTTCCTGTGCCGCACCTCGTCCGCCCCTCGCTCGCCTGCCCTTCCTTTCGCTCGCATACCCTTTTTTCATCTTCCTGCCTAAGTATACGCGCTTGCTTGTACTGCCCTTACTCTCCTTTCTTCCCACTCCGCTCCCCGTCCACCCATTCCCGACCCGCCCCTGCTTCACACTTTCGTCCTTGTTCTTGCGCCGTACGCCTTCCTCTCCCGCTCACTCCTTCCCCACGTCCTCCCCCGTGTTCCCTTACTCTTCGTCCCTGTCTTTACCCCGGCGCGCCTTCCATTCCCTCCCCTCGCACCCGTTCGGTCTTTCTTCTGTCGCCCCTCGCACCGTATTCTCCTATCTTCCGTACCCGTTCCATCCCCTCACCCCTTCCCTGCATATTCCCGTGGTCCTCCCTGTCCGTCCTCTCCTCACGCCCGTCTTCTCCGTGCCCCACTTATATCATCAATCAAGAATTGTATCAATAACTCAATCATTCCCCCCGTGCCGATTCCTCCTCCTGCCTCCCCCCACGTCACATCCAGTTGGGCGTGCACATGCGCCTTCACCCCCTTCTCCTTCCTCCAGTCTGTACCACGTTCCTTCCTTCCGACGCACGCCCGCCCTCTTCGCATTGCGCGCTCTTCCAAGCTTTCGTTACCTTTTCTGTTCTTCCTGCTCCACCCCCCCTTTCATATCGCATCCGCCGCCGCCGCCCCCTCCTACTGTTCTCGCGCACGCGCTCGTCCATCGTCTCCTTTTCCTTGTTTCGACCCCCACCCCATTCGCCTCGCCTCGCTTCGCGCGTTTTTTGGAGCGTGCGCGCCCTTCTCTCCCTTTCGCCCTCTACGCATCGCACACACGTCCATCCTTCGTCTCCTTTTCCTTCCTTTCTACTCCATCCCCCTCGTCTTCATATCGCATCGCATCGCCGTCTTATCCGCCGCCGTTCCCGGCGCCCGCGTACATCCTCTCCCCTCCCGCCCTGCCACTCCCCGCGTCTTCCCATCCCGCCCTTCTCCCATCCGCTCCCTCTTTCACCTTCGCTCCCTCTCTATCTGTCCTCTCCCAAACCCTACTCACACCCACCCCCCAGCTACCCCCATAAAACCGAGATCGGCGTCCCGCGCTACCGCGGCGAAGCGGATGAGGTGCTCGCCGCGGACATGGGGCTCGGCTTGGACGAGTTGGGCTCGGGGCTCGCGAATGTGCGTGTCGTTTGGCATCGAGGGGCATGGTGCGTCACGGGAGCGGGGTGGGCGCGGAACGGTGGCGCAGGCGCGGCGGATGCGGCGCGGCAGGGTACAAGAGCGGGGAAGAGGAGGCGGCGGCGGCGGGTGAAGATTGTGAGGGCGACGACGACAACGATGCGAATGGGGAGCAGTGGCGGGAGTGCGAGTGCGAGCGGGAGCAGCGCGACACCGACGCCCAGCGCAAACGCGAATCTAGGGTGCGGGGTAGCGCGCGGACCGGCGGCTCTACGACGTCGGTAGCGCGCATCGACAGCTTCGAGCCCGCGTCATCGTTCGCCAGCGCGCGCGGGGCCGGCGTCGTTTTTCGGTAGCGCGTCCGCATCGCCGCTGCTCTCTGCGTCTGGATCGCCTCCGTCTGGATCTGTTACGGCGACACCGACACTGGCGCCGACCCATACAGCAGCACCGACAGCAAGCGGGGGTGCGGGCAGGGGCTGGCGGCGGCGGCGGCGGCGTACGCGGAGTGAGGGCGCAGGCACAGACACCGCATATCGGTGCGGTGCAGGCGCTGTACGATGGCGCGCGGCGCAGACGCTGTATATCAACGGGGCGCAAACTCCACATACCGGTGGGGCGCAGACGCCGTACAAAGTCGCAGGCCCGTGCGGCTAAGGGAGGGGGTGTGGGTGCAGGTGCGGACGGGGGTGGGGGGCAGGAGCAGCAAGGCTAGTCAAGCCAACGGCAGGGATACACGCCGGTAGCGCCGTTTATGGGCCATACGCGCACGGCGCAAATTCACAAGCGAATTCTTTGACTCGTCTGCATGCGCACGCAGGAGGCGAGCGGGGAGAGTGGTGTGGCTCCTCATGTCTAGGTTTCCTGCGGTTCCTCTAGTTCTGCGAGTCTTGTTCCCGTTTGTCTGCGAGTCTTCTGCGCGCTTTTTTCTTAGGCACCGTGACGTCACAATCCGGGCCGCATTTACCGGGAGCTGTTGTGGGCGATTTTTTTTCTTTTTCCTGGTCATATTTTGGGGCGGCTTCTGGTAACTTGATTCCGGGTTGCAAATCGCCACTATCCTCGTCTCTCTCTTCCGCGCGGTCCAGGTGTTCTATCGCTTACTGACTGCTTTCACCGCCGACTTCTCTATTTATCAGCAACTTGCTTCGGTTTCCCCTCTTCGACGTCCACCAACTTCGATCGCCTCCCTCGCCGGATACCAAGGCAATCCCGTAGCGCTTTTCTTGCCTGATCTCTCGCTTGCGTATGGGCCTCGCTGCACTCCGCTCTCGCCCGAATCTGATTCGTGTCTTTCTGCGTGCGCGGGCTTCTGCCCACTTCGAAGCACTTTCTCTGTTCAAAGGCTCGCCTTATGTGTTGATTCCCGTATTTTGACGTAGCATTTAATGGGTGTAGTCTAGTTCCACCTTCAATTATACTTGGATTCTGCGGTGCATTTTCTGTCGCTAAATCTCTGCGGGTACATTGTGTTTCGGTTTGTCGGATTTAATTGGAAATTTGGAATAGGGTTGGTTTCGCTAGCATTCCGTTGATTTTGACGCATCGTCAAGCTGACCGATCATTAATCTTTCCACGTCCACTGAGTTCCTACAAAATGGTGCGTTTTATTTTCTTTCCCTTCATCATCATGCAGACATTCATTCAGTCTGGTTTTACATAATATCAGCTTGATATCCACCGTTTTATTCGCCGTACATCTTTAGGACAGGGGTGGATAGATTTTCTAAAGATATCTGTACAGCAATATTTGTTACAAGCTTGAAGGTGGTTAAAGATCTCCTCTTGTAACAGTAATAGTGGGAATAGAAGGAAATGCTGCACGATAGGTCGCTTCTGCTTTGTACGTAGAATGGATGTGCAAAGATGCCAAAGTACAGTGAGACCTTAAGATGAGCGCATTGATGTTGGGAATGGCGTCATCCAGGATGTCCGGAATCGTAAGATGTTGGAGAGCGGGAGTAGTGAATGCTTCCAGGAGCTTCCGGTGACCCATGCCGTCTCCAAACTTCAGCGAGTGCAGGTACCTCAGAGGCGCCACAGGCAGTAGGTTCCCAGTGTCAAGTTTAACATAGTCGCAGCGAAACTCCCCAAGGGCAGCGGAATGCTGCAATATTTCGGTGCATTCAGCTAAAGCCAAACATGGGGCGGAAATGCTCGTTAACTGCGACCATGGCAGCTGAATCTCGAAAGGCCCAAAGGTGTTAGACAGGGCGACCTGCCTCAAAAGCGGTGCATTGCTGAACGGCGATATTGCATGTCGTGAGTCGGGCACTAGCACATAGTGGGTGGGGCCCAAAGTCAGAGAACGGAGTAATGGGAAGTCCGCTCCAATCAATCGAAGTGATTCAATGGGCAGCTTGAAGTCGATGTATTCCCAGCGCTCAGAATGAGGTATGATGGCTTGGATGAAATCAACTAAGACCATCCCACTGGAGGAGCGCAGGAGAATCGATAGCGGGCAATTTTTGGATCGTGATACCCAAGTTCTCAGTAAATCCAACGCCATGGTCGGAGACGTCGTCGGAAGCCTCAATTCGATGGCTCGCCAGAGTCGCGGCGTTCTGACCGCTATTTCGCGCCACGCCCGACAAATCTGGCTGAATAATTCCGGGGAGGAGAGTCTAGTAGCCGGTGGGCGTTCGGGGTAAGGTGGGAGGAAATGAACAAATATTTCCGACGTGATTTCGGTGGGAAGGGTAAGGATGGGGTATTTGTAGGCGTCGAGACACGTCTGCAGGTCCTGCCGCTCGAGCCTGGCGGTGGCGAGCTCCAGTGCCACATCCAAGTCGGGTATGCGTTCCTGAATACTATCTGACCGGGTGGATCTCCCGTTTGGAGCGCTTTGATCCCGCGTCGTATCAGAGAGCAGAGAGTCAAGATGATGAGGGTTGGTCATGAGTACTGAAGGTCCTGGAAAGAGCTTAGAGCTCAGCAGAGCAACTAATCGAGTTCCTACCTGTAACTGTTCTTCAGCAGGTCGTGGCGCTAGACAGAGTGGCAAATGCGATGCACTTCTGTATGGTGTGATTATGGCATCAATCGGGCCACGGCCCGCATTTACCGCCGGAACCGTTTCTGGCGAAGATTTGTTTTTTTTACTGGCCCCATTTCCGTTATTAGGTCTTCCTCCCCTTTACCTACCCTTGCATAGATATGTGATTGCTTTGGGCTTTATATGTTGTAGAATAGAAAAAAAAATACAG